TCGGTGACCCGCATGCAGGCGAGGTAGTGCTTGAGGATCCTCACCCATGTGGTCCATCGTTCGGGGTGGGCCAAGTCAAACGGAGCGATGCCTTCGTGCGAGGTTCCTGCTGGAGCGGCGGTGGCGACCCCGGAGGATGCGTTGGGCCCGGAGGATGAGGAGGTGGAAGCAGAGGAGGGAGCGGAGGTGGCATTTTGCTCCGACATTTCCGCGGATGCTCTTGGACGCTCGGAGGACCGGGTGAGGCGGGCGCGATGGTCGAGCGAGCTGAGCCTGAGGCGTGCTAGGCGGCGGCCGCGACTGGGGCGTGGAGAGCGATGCTGTTGCTCGAGGGGTCCGCAGTGTGCGAAGCGGAGCCGGGAGCGGAGCGATGAGCAGTTGCCGGAGAGCTGGGATGCGAAGTTGCGCGGTTCCCGGAGAGGTCTCGGCGTCAGGCTCGGTGCGGTACTCGTGTTGGCGTCCGGGTCTTGTTCACGGGGTCGTAGATCCCATCCTCGTCGCCAGTGAAAAGTACTCAGAACGTGGAGTGATTCAGCAAGAGTGATTCAGCAAAAGTACTTTATTAGATCAGGAACAAGACAAAGGAAACCCGCTCACAGGCCGGTTTATATGCGTTCAGAAAGCCCGCCACCAAGTACACCTAAACACACCCCCTACTCCCGATAGGCTATTTACAATAACCGGGCGACCATTGGTCTCCTGGCTGGGAAGCTAGCCCTTTGATTGGGCCGGCTAGGATCCTTCGGATCCTTTGTCTATCGACTGAAGCTACAGATGAATTGTGCCTGGCCAGCCCGGGCAAGTCCGGGCATGTCAGGCTGATGCCTTACACGTGGAAAGGCAGCAGTACATTACAGTTTTTTTATAAGTCCTATAGCTGGGAAAATAAGAGCTGGGACCTCCTTGTTCAGGGACTTGTAGAATTTGTCCCCTTGCCCATTTTTTTTAATCTGAGAATTTTTTTACAGGACTGGCAATACTCACTTTGCTGAAATGTTGGTGTCATCTAGTTGAAAAACCCTCCTGAAAAATCCCCAATAGGGAGCAATTAAAGTGAAATTACAGTGGCAGGGGGCACCTTGTTCAGGGGCTCATAAAATCCATCCCCTTGGCCCACTTTGATTGGAAACTGGAGGTTCTTTAGAGGACAGGTAACTCTCACTACACATAATTTTGGGATCTGAAAAACAGTCACTCCAGACCTCCCAAAAATCCACCACAGGATATAATTGCAGACCAATGAAAAAGGTCAGTCTTTATTTTGCAAAGTAAGCCACTTTTATTCTGTGAAAGAAATAAACAGAACACAACAACTAAGGATGGCAAATGCAGAGTTTTCAATGTAAAGGTAAGAAATTTGTATTGTCAGTCAGTCACTAAAAGAGTAGGAAAATGCAGAGTTTTTGGTTTTTTAAATGCTATGGGCAGCTGGAGCACTCTGGTGAGGCTACTACTTGACCACTATTTTAGGAATTAGTAGAGAGAAGTGTGGCTGAGCAGAGAGTCACCTGCTTTGGAGGTCTATTTTGTTCAAACTGCTTGAAAATTATCGGGGTGGGGGGAGGTTAGATTACACTGGGACCCGTGTTTTGCTAAAATCTGTTGCCATTATTTTTCTAAACATCTGTTATAGACCCTCATTTATGTTTCCCATGAAAAAGAATAGTCCCAAACTCTGGCACCACACAGATTTAAATCTCAAACCCCAAAATGGAAAAGTTCAACATTACCCACTACAGATGAATGGTTGGTGAATATGATGAAATTTGCAGAGATGAATAAATTTACTTTCTTGATCAGAAAAAAAGACATTATCTACATTTAGACTTTTTGGAAAAAATGAACGGATGATATGTGGATCTGAGGATTAAGGGTGGCAAAAAGATTAGATTTTAGAAAAAAGAGAAACATTTATTTTGTACTGAGAGTAACTGTTAAGTTTGTAATTTTACTTGTATTTGTCATGGTGAAAATTGGAAGTCACTTCTTTATATTTATTTTATCTCTCTCACTTTATTTTTTAGTTCTGTACTTCTCTTCTTTTTTCTGGTTTTTTATCTCTTTGTTTTAAAATCTCTTCAATAAAATTAATTTTAAAAAAGATTTAAATCTCAAACCACTAATCTCCTACTTGAATATAAGAAATAATGGCAAAAATCAGCTATGTTTCAGGCTGTCTTTTGCTGCCCCTTTAAAGTGTAAAGGGACTGCACAAGACAGACTGAATCAGCTGAGCAGTGGGGAGCAGGCTTTTTGCAGCTTTCGCAGGGAACAGAAAGCAGGGGTTTAAAGAGATTCCAAAACCCTTTAAACCCCTGCTTTCTGCTCTATCCACAAACGACCACAAACTGCTTTAAAAGTTTATGGAAGTTTGTTACAGTAGACCTTTCATGAACCTCAGTTTGCAAACCATGAACAGGGCAAAATTTGTGATGAATTTCACTTTGTGGTTTGGTTTGTGCCCATCCCTAGTACACAGTCAAGTCATTCAGAAACAGGAATCCATGAAAAAGAATCATGATAGCAGCCTGCCCTTCCTGCAAGTCTTATGTCTGGGACACTATGTGTGGGTCACGGACTTTTCTTGGAAATCCAAGTGGGTGCCAGGGTTGTTATTATTACAAACAGGACCACTTTACATCGTTTAGGTGGATGGGATGGTTATGAGATGCCATGTACACTATCTCCTCTTTTGCTCAAAGAGACAGGAAGCCCTCAATGTTCCTGTAGCTCTACCAAAACAACCTGATTTCTTGAATGCTGAAGTGAGTAG